TCTTCCAGACCCAGACACTTGCATTTGATATCGAGTTGGAGGCCAGCATGCAGAAAAATCGCGTCGATGCGCTGGAGCGGCTGGTGCGAAACAGGAAATCCTCTGCAAGCGGCACTGCATCAACATCATCCTCGAATAAAGCGCTGCTGGGAGCTGCAGCTCCAGGTGATAATCAAGAGCAGGAATTTTTGTCTGAGCCCGACCGGCAGCTCGCGCTTGTCAGCAGGAGCGCCGCAACTGCAGCGAACGGGGGCAACTCCACCGTGCAGGATGCAAAGGCGCTGTTGGAAAGCACGCTGGCCGTGCGGGAGGCAAAAGTGGCTCTGCAAAACGAAGGGGCAAGAATAAACACGAAGCTGCTGCAATTCGACGAGAAAGAGGCGAGACTGCGGAAGGAAGTAGAGTCCCTGCGAGCGGAGTTTCAACGGGTACATTTGATGTTTTTTACTATCCGCAATGCTGCGACGGTGTTTTGCGTTTGCCTGCTGCACTGCTGACGAGAAAATCAACACTGCATCGATCGGTACTTCTATATTCGTTTGACGATATCGTGGTCTGGTCACCGAAGACAAAATGAAAATTTATGATAAAACGTTCTTCATCATCATCTTCAGCTCCAATCCGGGTCGGACCAGATGAGTCGCACAGTGGCGGAGTTGCAGCGCCTTGGCGAAACGAGGATCAAAGACTTGCAAACCAAAGTGCAGCAAGCTGTGACCCCGCGGTACCCGGGGATGCCGCCTCCCGGGCCCGCAGGCGGAGTGAATAGTTCGACGTCGCAACAAACTACAAGCCAGGTGGCACAGCAAGCACCCGCCGCGAGCGGGACGACCGCGGCCGTGAACCAAACGCAAACACAAACGCAGCAGATCGTAGCTGCCGCGGGGGATCCGCTGAGCAACACGGCAGCCGGCAATCGGCAAATCACCATGCAGCAGACGACGACCTACAGCACGAATTACAACGTCGGGGCCGCACCAGTTGTGGGCTACACCCCAGCAGGGCACTTAGTACCCACACTGCACCAGCCCTTTCTCGTCCGCCCGCCCGCCTATCGTACAGAAAACGCAGCTAGCATCATGTCATGTGTAGTGTAAAATTTTGCATGCGAACAGCCAGTTCATTCTCATTGTTTCCGGTTCTCAGTATGGCGGGGATTCATTTTTAGAAAGAGCGTCCTCCCACGAAATTATTTTTGTCTTGCAGTGCTTGCTTCCATGTGTGTCCATCGTACTTACGTGCAATTGATGATAAGTAAGTATGTTGGTGTTCATCTTCAGCTTGACGCTGTGCTATTTCTTTTCTCTACGATACTCCGGGAGCGCAACCGGCGACTACAGTTTCTGACGCGGATTACCTGCAGGCCCTGTACCGAAACCTGGAACTGCAGACGCCGCAGGTCCCGCAACTCCAGCTCCTGCTTGGGGACGTGGAGCAGAAACAGGACTACGCGAATGATCTGAATGTCCAAACAACAAACTACAACAGCAGGAGCCCAGGCACTACTACCAGTGCGGTGCTTGGTTATTTGAATAAAGGGGAGGGACTTCAGGAATCGAATTTGGAAAGAAAACCAGCGGGTGTAGTTTTGCCGAATGCAACTACGACTAAGACCAACTACGACTACGAAGTAGTAAACCAGAATCCGTACGTGATGAATACGACACAGACTGCGTTGCAGCCGGTCCGCGGTCCACAGTCGTACTTGCAGCAGACCCCGGGTGGCGCAGACGACACCGGCGGCTGCGGAGTGCAGTGAAAGGTTGCGGCTTATCAGGATGCAGGCCGACTTTTGCATTTTTAGAAGAATTTGTGGCTCATCTTCGGTGGACGGGGCAAAAGATAGAAAAACTACATCGACTTCGAGTGCACCAAGCACTGAATCCATTGTCGCGTCGTCGCGTTTTTTCGTTTCACTTTCAACACATTGCGTCTAAACTTAGTTTGTTTCATCGTTGTCCTTCAACTTTGAATGACGACTTCGCTAATTGTTCTAGTGCTAGGCCTGTAAAATTTTCCTGGTTTCACATTTCCACTCGTAGCGCGGCTGCAACATGCGATCTGGTGGTATTCATACACTGCTAGTTCGTTGTCTGTCGCCCATGACAGACGAAAGATGCAATCGATACGGGCGCATCTAGCAGGAAGATATTCGAAATGTACAGAAACGTTGTAGCGAAATTCATCGTGGTGCCATCCTCATATAGATACTTACCGCAACTGAGAGAGGAGAGAGTGAGTAAGGGAGGAAGTAGTTGGCTTCCTTCAAGGTCTTCAGAGCGCATTCATATTGTGTTCACGCAGATAAAATTGGTCCCACTACCAGCCGCGATGGCCATCATTGCGAATGACGGTGAGTAGGAAAAGCAAATCTCACTGTACCGTACAGAAGCTGAAACTCTAACTCTCTTCCAGTACTTCGATGATACGTTTTTGCTTGACGCTCGGACAAAGCATCGCTTGATTTTCCTTCGGTGACCCCATCCACAATAACAATAAGTGCCATTGCCCTACCCAGGAACAGGATCCGGTTTATGTGCCCGAAAAAGTACCCTCACCCTCTTTTTGTAGAGCAGGATTTCTGATACTGATCGTGATGGGATTTCGTTTACAACGAATTGCAGGTGTCGCTTCACTTCTGGACAATACCAGCATGAATAACTAGAACTACAATCACTGACGTTTATTCACAGTATTTGCTCGGGATCCACAGCGTCACCACTTTCGGTAATTTTGTGCTGAGTGTCGGTTCGATCTTCCCCGTCTTTCAACATTCAAGATGACAGGTATCAAGGCCGTTGTGCCGGACGCAGTTCCGGAGATGCCCCAGTGGAAGACCACTGGGGAGCACATGTCCATTGCTGGCACCCTAACCCTGGATACGTCCAAGAAGTGCTTTTCCGTACCTGGCGTGACGGACACGCCCACGTCGAGCACGACAAGTACCGCGACACCAGGAACGGCGGAGCTTTCGATCAACGACGTGTTTTTTGTCAAAGAAGGCAGTTTTGAGGACCACCGGGGCGACTACGTGAACGTGCCCGTGCCGTTTCCCGTGCTGGAAGGCGGGGTGGCTGCTTCGAAGAAGAACGTCGCCCGGGGGTTCCACTGTTCGCCCTTCCCGAAGGTGGTGGGGTGTCTAACCGGAAAAATGTATGACGTGTTACTGGATCTACGGACGGCGAGCACGACGTTCGGAAAAATCTTCACCTGCACGTTGCTGCCGAAAAAGGGTATAATCTATAATTTCAGCTGTGATGGTCATGGTGAGGATAAGCATAAGAAGAGCTCGGCTTCACCGCCTGTGGTGCTCGGATCTGTTCCTGCCTCTTTTGTAGCCATGATGTACGTAGTCAGTGATCATCAGCATGTCATTTCTGTCAACATTCTCGCTGCCGTTGCTATTCTTGATTACGAGGAACGAGTATAGTAAAAGCAGAAGCACACGGAAAAAAAAATCGACATCAAAACAGGCTACCTCTACGTGCCGGCCGGGGTGGCGCACGGGTACGTGGCCCTGGAGGATGACACGTTGACGCAGTACTACAAGGGGGATTTTTTTGATCCCGCGAAAGAGATCAACGTGAACATGGAAAGCACCGAATTCACCATTTTTGGCACCGCCTCCTTCCCGCTTAAGGCTGAAGACTTGATCTTCTCCGAGAAGGACAAGGCGCTGCCGAAGTTCGAGGACGTTTACGCGGCCTGTCTGGTCCCGAAAGAGGAGCAAAAACCGAAGAAGGTCTGGTACGCGCTATTACAGTGAAAAATGCCCCCACCCCCAAAGTTGCAAAAATGTGTGATGCGAAGTTTCCAAATGAAAACCTTTTGCCATGCATGAAAGGAGTATGAATCTTTCTGATGCAGAGTCTAGGCGTGTATCGCATCGCTTGCATGACAAGCGGTAAGCTTGGTGGAGTCTTCTGCAATACAAATTTTTGCTGTTTACGATTGGAAACCTGTGATGCTGATAGATGCAAGAGGGCGAATGTTTCATTTGGAAAGGTTTGCAACACAAATGCTCCCAAGTAATTCGGGGTCGGGGGCATTTTTCATTGTAATACGCGCCCCACAAGTTCGAGTCGTACGGGGACGAAGAGTATGAAATGCAAAAGTGTCTGGGTCTGGAAACTTGTAATGCAAGTCAGCCAATAACAAATGCAGTGTAATGCGCCGCCAAGCATGACAAGTTGCTTCGTGGTTCTGTGCTGCGTATTCCGCATGAGAAACTGCGTTTTTGCATCACAGGCGAGAGAGGCTGTTTGTGGCCACGCAATACAGATTTAAGGGCCATGCCAGATCAGCATGACAAATCTCGCAATCTTCCAGACCCAGACACTTTTGCAGTTGATAAAGAGATGATGGCGGTCTCGCGGTGTCTGCGCGCAGGCTGGCTCGCGCCGGGCCCTATGGATTGCAAAAATGTCTGGGTCTGGAAGATTGCCAGGTTTGTCATGCAGGTTTTCCATAACACATGAGGTCTGGCATGTAGGACATAGCATGACAGATTCTGCGAAACCTTTCCAATGCCTATCCTGCATGAGAAACTGCCTCTCGATTAGCTCAAAAGTGCACAATTTTTGGCAATCATGCAACACAGTTTTTTGCCTGATTCAGATTTAGCATTACAAGTTGCATTCTTCCAGACCCAGACA